TTTGAAAGATTCATAACTCCAGGCTGATTACAAAAGGGCACTCTCCAGTCTTTTTAATCTTTTTCTCCTAATGTGTCTAATTAATTTAAAAGATGAATTCCTCCTTTTACATGGCCCCAGTTATTTAAGAAAATTGTTGCTTCTACAAACTATATTTCATTTATTCTCCCATCTCCCCATTCCCCCACTGCCCATTAGGTCTTATTGGACTCCCAGTGCAAGAAGGAAAGAAAAACAATTATTTAAAAGAAAGAAAGACAGTGAAAAATAATTCAAGTCTGGTAATCCAATAACACCTCCTTTCTTACAATACCTATTAAAATCTAGCGCAGGATATCAGGATTATAATTTTTAATCACAGCACACTTGGGCTGCAGATGGCATGCAGATTGTTGTTTTGCTTAATCCAAGGAGAATTATGGAAAACATAAAAAGAAACAAATTGGGGACAAGCAGGAATTTTCTTGTAGAAAGAAATCACTTCTTCAGAGCATGTCTTAAAAAAACTAGCATTAAATGTGTGACTAGTGCTATCTTTCTTGATGACTTCTTAACATTGAAAAACTGACTATACTGTCTACTTCAAACATGTCATTGTATGTATTTATGCTTGATGCACATAGCCAAAACTTCAAACTTTTATCAGACCATCCTGGCCACAGGATTAGACTTGACTGCCAAAGCAATAAATAAATAAATAAATAAAGTGACCAGGAAGTATTATTTATATTCTCACTAACCGGAATATAAGTTTAGAGTCTCACAAACTATGTTTTTGACATCTGTCTTACCAGAAAGAACATCTGCCCAGTGCAGATTAGCTATGAGTTTATTTCTTTATCCTATGTCTGGATGTCCTATCCTATCCATACTGTTCTACCTTGTGACACAGAGAAACAGTCTTGATCAGAATTTGAACTCTAATTTTAAGGCTTGCAATGGTTGTTGTGCAGCCAAGATTACTTCTCTGTATACTGCATGCCTTTGCAATAGCACTATCAAAAGAAATATCAATTCTAAGCCAGCTATACAGCATTGGCTACACTATGTGTTTAATGCAACAGTGGCTGTAGTGTTATAATTGGGTTTGTATCTTGCTTTTTACTGCTATACTGATTCTGATTGTTCATAGCTATAAGAAATTGATTTTAAGAAGAACATTTCTATGCTTTTTCTCTAGAGTGTTGTTAGAGAGGTTTCAGGTCAGCTACCCTGGAAGGGAAACCATAAACTTTGCTCAAGCGCTCAAAATGAAATGTTTGTGTTAACTCAGCTGATAAACAGCTGAAGTGAGAGTCTTTAAACCAGTCTTCCTTTTGAGTGTGTTTGGAAGGAAGAATAACAACACACACTTGAAGAAATGGAGCTCAGGAGACTGAAAATCATGTACATTTAGTGCTGATGATCCCATTTGGATCACTGGGCAGTCGTTACACTAACTGGATATCATCCCTGCCAGTTCAAGGCCTCTTCAAGAGGTGGGCAGATTGCTACTAAAAACAGACACTAAAGCCTGAACACTTTGTATGAAATCCTCCACAGGCAGAGGTGATTGGAAGAGCATTTTGGAAAGCATTCAGCTTCCTCCGTGTATTAGCACAAATTTCTCTGCAGTAAGAAAGACGAGGATGTGAGGCGAGCAGATGCCTGAGCATGAGGCAGAGTTATCACCTCAGACCCTGCTTAGGGATCTCCCCCTCTGCTGGTGAATATATAGTCATAGAAAGCAGGGTGCTCCCATCTTTGTATTGCTATGAGATCTGTGCCAGGGCTGACGCATCTCTGCTGGCACATGCAGAAACACAATGGGTGGCTTTCCAACTGTATTGCTCTGATTTCATAGTCGGAGCCTCCTCCTGCCTCCCACAGAGCTGGATGCATGCAGCCACACTAGAAAGCTGTCAACAGCTGCTAGGGAGAGCCTGTGCCCTCACCTCCTTCCCTTTGAGGATCCCCCAGAAAAACAGCAAGATCTGGCCCTGGATAGCACCAGCTGTCTTGTCTTCTGGATTGAACTGGAGAGTAGAAAATGAGAAGTTGAGTAAATTGTGAGCATATAAGTAGCAGTACCTCCTTTCTGTGGTAGGGATCTCAAAGGTAAGCTTGTATAATGCCACCCAATGCAACAGTACTGTTATTATATACTGATGAAGTACTGACCAAAGGGAAAAAGTATATGTTGCTACTCAATCTTTATAGGAAGACTCATACATTTAAAGCAACTAGGTGACAGCTGTTGAGATGGAATTGGGAAAATGTACCCTAGTTTGAATTTGTAACCTCTGCAACTATGTAGAAGTCCTGCAACTATGTAGTAGTCCTGCCAGCTTCCTCTTTTCCCAAATAATAGTCCAAATGTCTACACACATTCCTCATTATTTAATACTATTCAGCAGAGGTGATCACTATCTGCTAGTGAAAAGAAGAAATCCCAGTTCTTCAGTCACTTTTGCAGGGGATTTGAAATCTTTGGGAGGTCTTCAGAGCTTTCCCGTTCAGACGCTTTCACACAGATAGGAGCAAGAGCAAGTTAATTCCTCTGAGCTCTGGCAGTCAGATATTAAAAAGAAAGTTAACGAGCACCTGGCTGCAGCTGTACCAGAGCTTTCTAAAGACAAAACTCAGCCAACCCTATCTGAAATCAGACACTGCTCCAGCAAAAGCTGTCCTACCAGTGCTGTTGGCATGAAATAAACATTGCTGTGTTTAATGTCAATGAAATGTTGAAGAATGTCACACATTTTACTGCTGAAAATCTTGCATTTCTGGAGGCTCCATAAAATCATAAGGATTAAGGAGAATGCCTTACATTTCACAAAGCTCTGCTCTGGTTGAACTTCTAGATGGCTAAGTGGGATTTGTTTTACTAACTTCCTTTTTATGTAGGAGAGGCTACAAATCATGGTGTGTTTCACCTGATGCAGAGCTGTATTGATGGATAGTTACACAAACATTATTGAAATGAGAATCCTTTAGCATAAGAGGTAGTGGGTTTAGTATTCACAGGGCTTCTCTGTCCCTCTGCTTCTTGAAGATGAAATGCTACTGGGGAAAAGTGAGGAAGATGGATATTCAAGAGAGTACGGACAATTTTTTTTCTGCTGCTTCGCTCATCTGAAAGATTGTGTTTCCCACTGTCTGTGAATTAAGTCACCTCTTATTGCCATAGGTCTTAAGGTTGCTCCTTACCTTACAGCAAAGACAGGATATGGTGTCAAACAGCTAAGGAGTCCATCTGCATGAACATGGACAGTCTGCTCTAAGTTCTTATCATGCAAAAATCTGTCATTAAGTCCATTTATACTGTGAATACTTTTGATCCCCTATGATCGATGAATAGCAAACCCTGCTTCAGTGTGGGAACACTGCCACACTTGCAATGGAGTCCACACTGAGTTTGGGAAAGAACTATGAACTACTGGTATGATGGCAGGTGGCTTTCATAAAACTGTGTCCACAGAAGCATTGTACAAGCAAAGCCCTGAAAAGAGTAAAAGGGGATTTTGAGCTGACCTTAGTAATTTTTTTTAGAACATGCATTTGGAAAGGATGACTTCTTTAATGTTTCATTAACTGATTATTACAACAAATAATCACAACACATTTGAAGATCTGATATAACAATTCAATCTAAAATTGTTGTAGCAGCCCTGTAATAAGGGTGTAGACTTAAAACAGCAACGAAGCAGTAGTTGGATGCTATATGTACTGCTTAATTGCATTAAACATCCTTATTTCTCAGCTTCTCCTTAAATATCTCGACTTCTCTTTCTGTTTCCTGCCTGTATTATACTGTCTTCCAGAGCACAGTTTAAAATTTAATGCATTAATAAATGCCATCAATAAAAATATCTTGATAATTCACATTAGGTGCCATGAATAATTATAAAATCAATCATCAAAATGATCTTCCCTAAAATTATGCGTTTTTCCTTTTCATTGCATCATTAATTTGAGGCCTAATCCTGTATACTTTGGCCTTCCAATGCTCCTACTGATGTCAAGCAGAGCCTCATTAAATTCAGATGTTCTGCCCTGCTGGTTTGAATTCCAGCTTCAGAGCCTAATTTTTCAGTTTCTCCAACTTCCTCCCCATTTCTTAAGAAGGTCTGAGGAAACCTAATTTACCTCAGTTAACAGAAAAATCATGCAGATTTTTTACCTGCAGAAAACTTACCACTGTCAGCTAGAGTTGCCAATTCTAGAAAATATACCTTTTTGAACAATTCTGGGACAACAGGAAGCAGATATGTCTTTTTTTCACTAGTACCTCCTTCTGCTGTTAGTAAAAGTACATTGTGAAATCATGGCCTTCTGTGCAGAAGCATATTCTTTGAAATGGCTGAATATTTTTCACCCCCTTCCTTGGTACATTGCTGCAAACACACATCTTTGTTTGAGAATCTTCACATTCAGCAAGGATCAACACAGCAGGCATCACATGGAAATTTTGAATTCCCAATGGCCTGCCCATTTAAAATGACTAACTTTTGGCCTCTGCCCCAGGAGGGGAGGGAGGGGAATACATGAAGAAAATCTTTCATTTTATGCAGTACGCTTTCTCTCCCTGATAGAGTAGAAAGTTGGTACTATCCCAGGTTTCTCCTGGCAGTACCAGGAAATAGAACTATGGGCCCCTTTGACCATTGGATTAAAGGACCTTCCACAGTTCCTGCTGACTGATTGCCTATTTTCCCTGCCCTTAATTTGTTTTCTGTGTTTTCAAATTGTCCATTGCTTTAAAGCTGAAGGAAGAGGCACCACAAAGTCAAAGAGTTGCCACAACAGCTCATTATTTAGCTTGATGGATGTTTCATTTATTTTTTTCCAACAAGAACTTCATAAGGGTTCTTCTTAATTATTGCATAGATGGATTGGAGGGCTCTAATCCTTCACCATAATTTAATGCTCACATGCTGCTCTCACCCATCCTGCCTCTGGAGCACTGTTAGCAGTGTTACCCTTCCTTACAAATAACCCATGTAATATTTTTGATTTACCACTCTCCAGGGAAACACCAGCAGATTTTTGGGCTTGCTTTATATTCCAGCTGCCTTCATCCGACTCAAGGGCTCCACTGAAGTCTTCCAACATGAGCATCCAAGCCAGAAAACCAGAAGAGTCTCCTGAAGTGATACAGAAAAAAGCATGCAATTTCCTGCATTGTTATACTGAATACCATTATGACTTTATGTGGCATGTACATTAATGTAGGAATTCTCACACCTACTGATAATAATTACTCTGAGCAACAGCAGCACATTAAAATATAAGCCTATACAAAAGAAGCTATGTTGCTTTTTATCCAGGAAAAAAAAAAAAAAAGAATCCAATAAAATATCCATTCTTTATTTGTTTATGGGTGGGACTCATAAATAATGGGAGTTTTGTCATTGATTTAAGAGAGAAGTATTTCTCCCCATTAAAGAAAGATATCATTTTTCAGGTTTTGATATATGATGGTTGGTATATTCCAGCAAGAATGATTGGCACAATATTTCTTCAGTGGTTTTCTAGCTATGATTTCAGTGATTGAGCTGAGTTTGAATCTCCATTTCTGGCATACATGCTAGTTTTTTGGACCTTTCAGGGTGGTTCTGCATGTCTATATCTCAAGAAAAAGATTCTTTGTAGCAAAACTGATATCTTCCAGGATTTAATAAATATATATTTTTATGTTGATATCATCATAAACATAGTTTCCAGTCACCATTGTTCTGTGTCATAAAAGTATTAGTTCTTCAATACTGAGGCTGATTTTATGAATTTACTACACCACATTAAGTGTCTCACACTTGCTTGCTCAGCCTGATGTGTAGCTGGCCAGATTCATTGCTTATACCTGCCTCTCCATCTGCCTGGACATTTATGAATGTTAATCATGACAGTCCTGTGCTCAGTATGTTCTGTGAGAGAATGGAGAAATTCACCTGGCAGAGCTGTTAGTCACATTCACGCATATATTCTATAAAATATTTCATAATAAAATATAATTTCATATATTTTTAGTACTTTCTTTTATTAAATATCTACCTTTTTTTTTTTTTTTTCCCATACCTTAAAAAGTTTCTCTACAAAATCCAAGGTCTCTTCACATACATATTATCAACACAATATATTATCTAGAAGTTATGTTTTATGTTTGATCTTTTTACAACTGAAATCCATTTCCTGTCACATTCAAAGAGGGAAAACCCTTTGCCACAAATTTTTATTTCTTTTTTTTTTAATCATTAATTTTAAATCATTCTGCCTTTAAGACAATCCAGTGTTTCCCATCCATATTATTGTCTGCATTCTCCTACTAATGCTCAATCATAAAAGAGCTTCAAAGAGTCACCAGGCAACTTCCCTGCTGTGCTAGTAGAAATTCTTCTGTGAAGACAATGTCAAGCTGATGATTTTATCACTACAACTCAGTTCCCTCTATTTTGAGGCAAACTAATAGGACTGAAGGACTGATAAAACCCCAAATTATCGTATGGCAGATAGGCTTCCATGCTGTGGAATATTCTGTGCCTTCACCCTGTGTATATCAAAAATAAGAATCTACTCTTGATTTCTTGTGCCTAATGCTTTGCATAGATGAATACAAACACAAATCCATGTGTCCCGATGGGATGCATCCATGTGTGCTAAGGGAGCTGGCAGATGTAATCACCGAACCGCTCTCTATCATCTTTGAAAGGTCCTGGAGAACGGATGAGGTGCCTGAAGACTGGAGGATAGTCAATGTCACTCTGGTCTTCAAGAAGGGCAGGAAGGAGGATCTGGGAAACTACAGGCCAGTCTCACCTCTGTCCCTGGAAAGGTATTGGAGCAGCTTGTTCTGGATGCCATCTCCAAGCAATTGGAAGAGAAGAAGGTTATGAGGAGTAGTCAGTATGGATTCACCTCAAGGGAAACAGAGGCTTGTAGTTTCTATTGCAGTGTAACAAGCTTTGGGATAGTACATAGCATTGACCTCAACTAGTCCTGTCATGAGAATGGTTTCTGAGCCTTGCCTGTGCTAGCATTTTGCATGAATGTTTCACTAACATTTTATTAGCTGCTGCATTATTAAAAAAAAAAAAAAAAAAAAAAAAAAGATGGTGAATGGAGGTAATAAAATGAATAAATAAATAGAAATCTGTAAAAACCCAGATTTCTGCCATTGCGAACTCCCTGTACTGCTATGTGTGGCTACTTTTCTCTTCAACATGTTCAGTCTTTTCTTCTTTTAATATTACTTGTCTTTCCTCCCTGTGTTCTTTGGTCTAGAATGCATACAACTGAAAAAATTAGTCTGCATCCTACACATTCATACATAGACAATCCTATACATTGTCTTTATAACACCTACTTCCTCTGATTTGAAGAGACTTTTCTTGGTGGGAAAAATAGCATGATAGATAAATTATATTCATATTTAACTCATGGAAGCTTCATGTGTTGTGGCTACAAACTTCATAAAACAGAGAAAATAGAAACCTAAGCCATTAGTTGTTCTAATCACAGCATCACAGAATTTCTAGGTTGGTGTGGTGGTTTTACCGTGCTGGGCAGCTAAACCCCACAACTGCTCTCTCACTCCCCCTCCTTTAGATGAGGAGGGGGAGAAGTAAAGCAAAGAACAACTCACGGGCTAAGGATAAGGATAAGGATAATTTAATTAAAGGGAAATAATAATAACAATTAAATAAAGACTACCATGAACTAAACAATTTAACTAAGGGGAAATAAAAAGGGAAAGGGGAAAAGGGAGGGGAAAAGGAAAAAATAAAACAAGGGAGGAAAACAAACAAACAAAACAAATGAAGGCTATATGGAAGTGCAGAGGAAAGAAATTACTCTCTCCTTCCCACAAATGAGCGATGACTGACCACGTCCTTGAAGCAGAGCCTCAACGCACGTAGCCGGTGTTCGGGAGGAGGACTGACGTTTTCCCAACGAGAGCCCACCCCTCCCCTCTTCTTCCTGTTTCCACCTTTTATTGCTGAGTGTGACATCACATGGTATGGAATATCCCTTTGATTGGTTTAGGTCAGCTGCCCTAGTGATGTTTCTCTCCTCACTTTTTGCCCACCCCCTAGGAGGGTTAGAGAAAGGCCCAATGCTGTGCCAGTGCTGCTCAGCAATAGACACAACACTGGTGTGATAACACTGCTGTTCCAGCTACAAGTACAGAGTACGGCACTGTATGGGCTGCTGCAGGGAAAGTTAACATCCCAGCCAGACCCAGTACAGTTGGAAGAGACCTCAAGATCATCGAGTCCAACCAGTAGTTCTAGTAGAAGTATTTATTTTCTCTAGCACATAGAGACACCTTTAGTTCAAAAGTTATTTAGGAATGATTCTTGAACCTTAAATTCATGTGATAATGGATTTTAGCAGATTCTATTCTCTTGTAATCCACGTAAATTTTATAGCACAGGAGATACAGTACCCAGCTGTGCCCTTCTGAATTTTCAGGTAGGTGCTTAACCCTAGGAAAAATCCTATCCTGCTCTTTTTCATACTTTACCAATTTTTTCTCTCATTCTTTATGGACTATTTTCCAAAACAATGAAACAAAAAATGTATAAACAATAAGCTCTCCCTGTGTTATAACCCACCACACCCAGCTCCTCTTTTTGCAAAACAAGAGCTTGAAGTGACTGTTCCGTTCTTTATTAACATGAAACAAAACCACCAAATGAATATTTAAATGCATTGCAGCTAATTTCATTGGCAAACTCCAAATTCTGAACATATTTTTACCAAGCTTTCCTCCTGAGATGATGGCCTGAACTCGTTTTCTTTCCCTCCTTCCCCTTACTCCCCATGTTACCACCCCTGGAGAGACTGAATGCCACTGATTGTGCAAATTCACGCCCATCAGCACTTGTCATCTCTGATGGAATTTACCCTTTGACATTCAGTTTCCCCTTCCCACTTGGAGGCAGAAGTTTCATCTTTGCAAAGCACATAAGTTGTTTCCTTGGAAAAAGCAAGAAACATGTTCTCTTGCAGGGAAAAGACGGCTTACTTCACCATGGAGACCTTAGGGAGAAATATTCCTGTTTATTTCATCTGCATTTAAATTTATGTACTTTTATTATAAGGATTTTTTCTTTTTAATTTTTCTAATAAGCTGAACAGGCAAAGTCAGTTTATAGTCCAGCATCCCATGTCTCATAATCCAACCTATAAAGTCTTAAATAGTAATCTCTTCTTTAATCCCAAGCTACCACACCTCATCTTAAAAAAAAAAAAAAATCATTCTATCTTTATTGCCTGTTGTGAAAAATATTGTGAAGATATTACCACACAACAGTAGTCTCTGTTCTGCCTTTAATAACAGCTAGTCGTGTTATTATATATTTTTATACATAATGCATATATATATTTTTTTTATGTAGTAAGAGAAAAAATAGAAAGTTTCAAGGATTTTTCATTCTTGTTTTATCCAAAATTATCAACTCTCAGGTAGGGTCAAGCCTGTCCTCCTTACACCTGTTAAACCTCATTGAAAATGGTAGGGTTGAGCTAATGTAGCTGATTTGGCTGAGACTTTGGCTCACACCCTATCTCCTGTTAACTCACAGCTCTGTCTCCAACAGGTAGAACAAGATGAGATCTGCTGACTGCAGTGCTGCATTTATAGACTTAGTACTTCTCTGCTGTTGACTGCTTTGCCTGACAAGGAGCATATATCTCAAGATACCAAAATTACCAGAAATCTTCTTCCTACTCATAAATGTGATTGTTTAGTGATATTGTCTACTAATGGATCTGGGTAAATGAATTTTGGACCTCGTTTGCAATTTTTATTTTACTCAGCAGACAGTAGCATACAATTATACTATAAATCTCTGTTAACAGGTTAGCTTTGCTGCACTTCATTTTCTGTACTGGATGAATTTATTTTGCCTAATAATTGATAGTTTCTTTATAGGTATAGTTATTCTTTGGAGTAAACATTTCAAGGATAGCTTTGGGTCAAGTTGTTAATATTACATTTTTAACCATGAATATGTAACAGGATTTCTTTTAGTGTGTATTCATAGCTGGGCTCTTCCAAAACTGTCACACAATCCGGACAAAATTTTGTTTCAGATTCTGATGCTTTTTGTGTGAGGATCAATTATCTCCACCAGGTCCAGGCAAAAAATACTAACATTTCAGCATTTCTTTGTCAAAGTAGGGCCAGCTTTGGGTTGCTTCATTATCCTTCATACCTTAGTACTGCTAAGGATTGGCTATCATACCAAGTTCAAACAATTCAGTAGCCCTTTGTAGACAGGTTTCC